TGGTCGCCTGTAACACCCTAGCGGAAATGCCACTGTTAAATTTTATACTCTACAAGCAGCTAGTTCAACTTTCCAACGGTTAACGGCCAACCTGGTACTGTCATTCCTATGTTAAAATAATGTATATATATATATATATTTATATATTATATATATATATTATATATATATATTATATATATATATATTATATATATATTATATATATAAAGCTAAAAAGGATCACAAACTTTTGAGAAAACTGTAACCCGTATATACCTACCAACCGCACACTTGATGAATGAAAGGTCTTGGTTCAAAACTTCACAAAAAAATATGTGTTTTTCAATAAACCTTCTCCTAAGGTCAGATAAATTAAATGAAAGGATATCTTGTTTAAGGATTGTTTTTATTACGTTTAAAATATTGAAAATAAGTCAGCTGTTACGTTTGATTTTATTTATAATTTATTTGTCTACTTTTACCCATAGTTAACCTTTTATTCCCTTTACATTCTCTATGTTTACATTACAAACAAATTTATTTGTTTTGATTCTGCCACACAGCATAATGATAATACAAAAGAAATCTTCATTTAAATAAGCAATAAGTACGATTGAGCTTTGCCTCCATGATCCTTGGTAAGTGTAATGTTTCTATTTTTTATAGTCCTATAATCCCCTGCGATTAAAAAGAAATAGTAGGCCTAGCTATTTTTACTCAACTTATCAGGAACATACCTTGACATCGTAATTGTTGTTTTCCGACAGAAAATAAAATAGTATATATTTAACAACTTCGGAAAACCTAAGGGCTCAGATATGGGGCTCGGATAATAGGCACTGCATATATATGTGTGTGTCCGTTAGTATGATAACTTGAGTAAAAGCCATGCAATTATGTAATTTATGCAATTATGATGCAATTTGATACAATGATGTAGATCTATGTTTATTCAAACGAGTTCCTGAAGCAACATGATCGGACTATGAAACAGGGTTTTATAGGGTGAAAATTAGTTTTTCCCATTTTTACCCTCAAAACATGAAAATTTGCAATTTCTTTCCAAACTATTTCGTAGAGATTAAAAAAAAACTGATAGTTTAGTCCGTACATTGGGAAAGCGTTGTGTGCATAACGATTACAGAGAAGAAAAAAAACTGTTGATATTCCTATGTTATTCCAGTTGAGAATCAATTGAACAGTAGTTGTAGTTTGCTTGTTTATGAATATACTTTGATCAAATTTATTGTTTTCATACTTAACTATAAACATTAGGCCTACACTAAAAACACACTTTACTACTTTCCCTTTTGAGACAAAAAGTACTCATTAAACCTAATAGTGTTTAAAAAGAGAATTAATCTGACATTGTAAGGATAAATTTTATTCAAGAAAATCCCATCACGGCAAATTGAAATTTGCTTAGTAAGAAGGTTTGCTGCTGCAGGGGTATCTTATATGGCAGTCATTCAGTAGTGTTGAGATTCTCTTCTGTAACTCCTAACCCTTACAGTACCGGTACAACATCAGTTCAGTTTTAAAACTTAACACCTTAGCTGCAGGCCACTCACCGGTGAGTGCTCTAGTTCCTTTCTGCCACGCTGAACGCTCGCAGGTGAGTGCCGGCATCGCCTACATACACCGGGAAGAACGTGTATTTTTAAGTCTGTGATTAGGTAGGAATGGGTGCTTTATTGTGGTGTAGGTTAGTAGTAAATTTCCCTGTAAAATCCCCTTCTGGCAAGTTTAGAAATAAACTTGTCCCGTCTTTCTCCCTCCAATTGGCAATACAATGAGACAGGCTAGTTCCAGACAGTGCTGCTATCACTGTGAGTGTTTCAGAAAACTACGTTGACTCTCTTCGTAACACAGCACATCACTGCACGTCATTTGCTATTCGTCAGACCAAAATATTTGATAGCCAAACGGGTTAGCTCAACACTGCGCCGGACCGGGGCTAGGCCTGCCATTTGGTGGGCCGCAGTGAACGTGTTAATAGGTTTAATTCTTACACGGATTTTAAAGTCAGCAAGGTGAATTATTACTATTACATTTGTGTAGCCTAAAAAAATATCAATGAAATTGTTAAAAGTGGGCAACAAAGAATGGATTTAACCTAATTCCCTGACAAAACTAAGCCAATCACCATTGGTCATGAACGCCAACAGACGTCACCCAGACAGTTTAAGTTACAGTAGGCCTATTGTCAACAATATTGGATTGTCATAGTCTATCAAGACAAAGTCATAAGTAATCGTTTGACCATAAATAACAATCTAGACTGGACTGACAATGTGGTTAAAACCATTAAAAGGGTGTTTGTCACTGTTCATATTCGACTGAAGATAAAAAATACTATTATAAGTTCACGATAAACTTTTAGGCCTACTGATCAAATCTATAGTAACTGCCCATTCCAATTACAGTAACACTGGGTAGTTAATAATGTGACCGTTGCTTTGGTAACAAAATTGCAGCAAGCCCAAAATTACTGCAGGCCTATTTTATTTGTAAGGTCTTTATCGAAAGATGATCATGTCACGACGGAGGCTGTAGGCTGCCTTCAGTTGTGTACATTTGTTTTAAAAAAGCTTTAATTAGCCTCATGATGAGATTTTAATCTCAACATCGGTCGCCATAGACAAAAGGTCACTGACAGACGGATAAATTAAACCAGGGGTCTCCAACTTTTTTACTCAAGGGCCACATTGACAATTTTTGGAGGAAAGGGCTGGACCGTCAACATTTCAGTGTAGAAGGGGAGCCCTTCTCAAAATAACCCTCAAAGAGTTTTCTAATTAAGAGCTCATTGATGAAGTTTGTACATTTCTTGCTGATTTTTTGTTGCTATTTAACCTTTTAACTAAAATTCTGTATGCTTTTGCAAATGATACTGTGATCAAACAAAATAACTGACCTACCCAACATAATTTTTTTAGGGAATATAAACGATGTTCCTCATATACTTTGTCATAAATAAATCATGATTACTGGATATCATCACAGAAATTTTGGTGATACCACAAGAGATGTTCACAGTGCAGTTGCGATTGCAGGAGACGATCGCGGTATCGCCGAGACTGCAAAAATGGTTGTGAGTGTTACCGCGATCGCGAATGACAAGCGTGTTATCTCTGGGGCCGCAATATTTACTTACGGATGTTGCCGCAATAACAAATGCTGATTTATGTCATTACCGAGACTGCAACATTTACTTAAGGGTGTTGCCGCTACCGTGAGTGACGACCACGATATCGCCGAGTTGTCGCGATCGTGACTGACGATCACGATATCACCGAGTTGCCGCGAACGTGACGTACTATCACGCTTTCGCCGAGATGGGTGTTGCCACCACTTTGACAATCATCGATTTGGCCTATAACATACCAATTAAGTTATATAAAAATAATTATTTACCCGTAAGCCCTCCGAATAAAATCTATTCTCTTGCCGCATCTGGCCCGCGGGCCGTAGGTTGGAGACCCCTGAATTAAACCATTAAGCACCATGCCTTTAAAATCATTCAACATCAGAAAACAACAAAGGCCTATAAATCACTCATCCCACAATCAATCTCAGAATTCCAAATTATATCACACACAACTTGGTTTTTTTCACTAAAAAGTTGAAAGATAAAGACAGTCTTTATGAAAGATTTCATAAAGCTCTCTGGCTCATTCACTCTCAAAATTCCTCAGCAACGATACAAACTGTTAACTGTAGGCTATATAACTTGTGATAGGCTACACCAATTTAGTAAAAGCGCTCTTATACCGACTTTGGAACTCCCTAATTCACACTAACTAAGCTATTGTCTGAAATCCCGTTTCAGACTGATGGCAGCCAGACGAAACAAAAAGCCTGCAACGTCCATGTGATTACGGCGATGACTGACACTTGCGGCGAAAACGAAGTTGCAGTAATTACAGCATTTGACCCTTCAAGGGTTAAATCTGCCTATTTTTAATTACCTAGCCTACATATTTTGTCTGATGACTTTATGTTTTTGATGTTAAGTTAGGGCCTAATATGATTTTGCTGGGTATTTTTGTTGTACTGTAGCCTAAGTACAAACCTTGTTTTTGTCAATCCTGATGGGAATTGTTTGGAATAACCCCTTAACTTAAATAACAATCTTGATGCTTAAGTATTTTCAGGGAAACAAAAGAAAGTTGAATTCTAACGTAGCCTATAGGATATGTTAGCCTATTAATACAGTTAACACGTTCGCTGCTGACCGCTCGATGCCAGGACGGCGCCAGGAGCTGAACTGACGCTCGGCCGCTGCGTGACATTGCCGCCGATACACTGAATTACAGTAAAAACAACAGTACCGGTAGTTGTACTGGTTGGAAAAGTTCTGCAGTAAAACTGGCTTTGGACATAGTACTAAGTGATTCTGATAGATAGCAGCACTACCCAGGTTACAGTAGGTAAAGTAGTGTTGCTATCTAGCAGGAAAGAGATGAAACAAAGCCCTGTTCCAAACGACCCTGGTGGTAATTTAGGGAAACTATATTTTTTATTGTCAGAAGAGTAGGTCCCTACGTCCCCACGAGCTGCAAAGAAATATAGGACGCTTGTGACGAGCTGGCTTATCCATGGCAACATTAAACAACAATGAACGGTGACGTTCCCAGTTCCTGGCGCCGTGGCCCGGCTGACATTCCGAAACGTCCGTAGCAGCGAACGTGTTTACTTATATTTAAACTTAGGCTAATTCTCATGTTAATGAGTTATTGATTTTTCTAATTTGATGTAGGCCTATATGACACTAACATCAGGAGCCGCTGTAGAACTGATTTGCTTTGGAATTGGCAGTCATCACTCTTTATAGGTTAGGATAACTAGGGTGAACTAAGTTAATGATTGGATTTGGATACTCCGGTAAAGCATGTTTGTAAGATTAAATATAGCGTTTTACAAGAAGAACAGCTTGAGTTATTAAATAATAAGGCCAAGTAGGCCACCTTAACTTAATAGATTGTTATTGAATTCATATCCCAATCTGATATTACCTTGAATCGTGGTACTGGAAGATCTAGAGGTTCTAATCTTGTCCATATCCTAGTGAGATGCGATCTTGGGTCTCTAACTTGTACAGGAGGGCAGGTCGGATCATTCGGTACAACTCCATCATATCGATAAACCTTCGCAGCACCCTTGACCAAAAATGGGTCTGACAACATCTTGTAGTTCCTCGGCTTACTATGATGATGATGGTGAGACGTAGTAGAAGATGACGAGGACGAGGATGAATGGTGTTCACGATGATGATGGTGATGATGGTGACTACCATGACCATGGTGACTATGGCTTCTGTGTTTGCTGTGATGATGATGGTGCTGATGTTGATGGTCCATCGTTGTTCCATTCATGACTGGAATCAGATAAGCCAATCTTAATTAAAATCGTAAATTATCAAGTCGGTTACAGATTACAGTTTATTTATTGATTTCTTTTTATATAAAAGTAAAGTAGGACCTAACGAAAAGCTTAGTGATTCCAACAACACATCGAACAGGTTATGTTGCTGTTTTGTTTTACTATGTTGAGGATTATCGCTGAAGAGTCTACCCAATATGATGACTAATTTTAAAAAGCAATTGAAAAACGCATCATTCCGATGGTGCGTTCCCTGCTAATTACCTGTTTAACTAATCCTAAACTATATACATTTGGTGGTCTTCTTGGCTCCATTATTTGTTTCTGTTTCCATGACGGGAGCCTAGATAACTACGTCGATAGAATGATGTCATAAAACTGAGTAAATCATTTTTAAACACCTTAAAAAATTTAATTTAAATATTGTTTTAAAATAAACAATTTTTATTAATATTGTTTATCGCTAACACTTGCAAAATATTAAAGATTAAAAATTTAAAGTGAAATATAATTTCTTGTTGTGATTTTGTTTTGACCTCTCAGTAGAGATCATATGTTGGTATAAAACGAATATTTCTATTGGTTTCCTTTGTTCGAAAAAAAATAATGCATCCAATCAAGTGACCTGTTAGTATTGCATGTCGACTTTTTTCTTCTAACTTATTTTCTACATCGGTCACTCGAAATTGCTTCTGCTAGCTAAACTGGTGTTAGGTGTTGTCTGTTATCCAAATTAGAAAACCAACACTGATAAAATTGTAAGTAGGTTAAACGGTTAAACTTAGTTCCCTGGTGATACTTTTTAATGCTATTTGTTTTAAAGTGTTATATTTAATTCCAACTTAACTTACGTCATTTTACAGATTAACACTATGTCACTGCTGAGAAGATTTTTCCCTACTGTTCGAGCCCAAGAGGACGAAGAACTAGTCGATCCTCAAGTTGTTATAAGGGTAAATTAATTTCTGTATAGTTATATCATAATAAAATATTTTTATAAATAAGTTAAGTTTTGTACAAGTGGACTCATGCTAAATATGTTATTGTTTAGTATTTAGTATACTGGTATCTTTAGGGTAATGGTAAGTTAATAGGCAGAATAGGTTTAACCTATGAAGCTTAAGTTATATTAGGATTTGCATTTAAATACAATCTGGGAAGTTATTGATTTAGTTTAGGGTGTCCGGTGTCCAAACGAATTTTTAGAGTAATAATTTTGTTATCATTATTTGGCCCATTTGAACACTTTTCCTTTGGCACTTTTGAGGATGAAACGCCCATTTCGCCCTGAAAATTAACTACCTAACAGGAAAAAAAAAATTTTGGAGCTTATGCATAGGGCCTAACTAATGTTCTTAACCCTCTTAACGCCAGTTATTTCCTAACCCTCCGAATGTTAAGTGTTTCTAAAGCGACGCATAACACTGCTGTGATGTAAAGTGGCTGATTAAACGTCACAAAGCAGGTCTTTTTTTACCTGATTTATAGTCTACTGTCACATTTCTTTTGGGCTATGAGGAGAGCAGTATAGACAGTGTCCAAATAATTGTAGGCACATTAATGAAAGGGAGGTAAGTTTAACTTAAATCATTTTTTTATTTTTGGTAAATGTTCTTCAGATGTTGCTTTCTCCTTGAAACCATTCCATCCTAGCACTGGGATCTCACTAGAGTGTGCATTTAATAACCACAGAATATCTTTGCAAATGACAAAATAACGTTGATAGCAATTAAGGATAGAATGTCAAGATCTTTGATATGTCCACAGTTTTTAAACCAGCATCTGGATTCTTAAAACAAATTCTTGGAGTTATGTTGACTCAGCACATACTTACCAATTGTAGTGCCGTCAGCTTCCCTAAACATTTCACGTCCACCTCTTCTCCAGCCTTCACGTCCACCAACAGCTATAACTTAATTACAGCGTTCTAAAGTTAGAAATTTGGCAAAATATTAAAAACAGATGATTTTTTATTGTAAAATAAAATTGAATATTTTCGTATACATATGTTTAAGTCCTAGAAATAAAATATTAAGTAAACATATAACGCCAAAAACTGAGATATAGGCGAAACAGGTCTAAACATTTCATGAAACCAAGAGGTTGCTTGAGATGTACTGGTGGACCAATAACTCCTTATCATTGGTTTTCTAATAATTCCCATGATAAAAATCACTGCCTGTAAAAAGCCTTTCATTTCAGCCAGATTTACTAGCTTCCATTTGCGAGCGCTTGAGTGAGGTGACATATAAATATTATATACAAATAATATATAGGGCCTATACAAGCAAAATTATATAGGTACTGATTTGTTCTCAACACAAATGTGTTCAGCAGGCCTACGGTAAAAAATAAATTAGAAATATTCAATAGGCTTGGCATCTGAATTTAGCACATGTTTTGTTCCGGGAATCTTATGGTAGGTGAAATTGTGATGGTAACCAGGATCATTACCATCATCAACTTAAGTCCATTACTATCAAGTTTTCAGTAAGCGCGGGCTCTTGAGGATTCTCATTTGGAGGAATTTCATTTACCATAACTTGGTTGGCTATGTTAGGGTCAAATAGGCCTTGAATAACATTATTTATAATAATATATCAGCATTGTTTTTGTTGGGGGCGTAGTTTTACAAGACCCAACAGATAGAAGCATTAAACAAAACTGCTAGCAGGCCCTCACTATTTCCTAAAATTGAAGGAAAAAGCAGGGGCAAAAATCCTGAATATACCATAAACAAATTTCGCAAAAAAGGCCTTAAGCACAATTTTGAGGTTAAGTTCTTTCCACAATGCTTCACTACAACAATGATTATTATTATTCTATTCCATTTCACCAAGTCCAAAAAAACCCACATTTTACACTAAATTTGATACATTCCCCTCCATTGATAAAATAGTCAGATCTGAAAACGAATCATACTGGATTTAAGTATAAAACTAGCACAATAAGCGGCAATCGGATGCAACGTTCCCTGTGCGTGAGTGAGCTCACACTGAAGCAAGATTGTTGGCATGGGAGGAGGGCGACATTTCCTGCCGCGTCCCAGCTGTGCTGGTACTGCGGGGCGAGAATTCCCACATTACACGTTTTTTAACGTATTAAGAAGAATTTCCCCTCTGCCAATTTTTGGCTGATGCAGTTTTCACCTTGATACAGTCAGGTTTCAAAAAAAAATTGTAAAGTGCCGAAAATGACAGATTTTTGGTTAAACCAAGACAAAATTTGTTTCCAAAATGGTTATTTATATTAAAGTACCAGTATATTAAATAAACTAACTAGGCTGGTGAAGGTTCCAAAGGTTTTAAGTGTGAATTACGACAGCCTTCTGACATCTAAAGTGCCAGAGGAAACCACTTTAGTTGAGTACGCACATTAATAGTATTAATGATGCAGTCCTCATTTCTGCACACAACGTTGAGCTGACCCAACTGAAGCTTAACCATGTCATGCATGTTGAAACCATCGTTCCGTTACAAGCGGGGAACATAGTTGTCCAAACCACACGAACCGCCAAGTACCTGGCAGTAAAGTAACCAAGGCCGAAACGAACCATCCATCCACTTCTGGTTCACATCAATCTCAAAGGCTTTATGGCAAACACGTTGTTAAAACCATAAAACATCGTAAACAGGCCTAAGGCCACTACAACCAACACGCCATGCGTGCCGGCCGGGACGTGCTCAACTAGCACAACTAATCTTAGTAGTCACTGACTACTACTAATAAATTCGTATGATGAGATTAAATTGTTTTGGGCTTACTAAAAATGGATTAAAAATACACTGGCCTCGTAATATTTAATCGTTACGTTATGGGTTGGGTTTAACACACCATCATGATCAAGTCAACGTAGCCTAAGTCCATTGGTTTAACAGGAGTGAAAATATAAAATCTAGTAAAACCGATTTTAAAAACTAGTATTTTACACCCTGGCAATAGTTAACTCGGTTTACCTTAAATCTAATGGAATATAAGACTTACAATTTTACTCGAAGTATCACGCGAGCTAACTATTACTTCACCAATGAACTATTACGACGATCTCGGTACTCTACTTTAGTACGTAAGAGCTCTCGAGTGTTCGTAGTCGTGGCTGGTGAGGAACTCTCCTGTCTCGTGGCTGGTGAGGAACTCTCCTATCTCGTGGCTGGTGAGGAACTCTCCTAACTCGTGGCTGGTGAGGAACTCTCCTATCTCGTGGCTGGTGAGGAACTCTCCTATCTCGTGGCTGGTGAGGAACTCTCCTAACTCGTGGCTGGTGAGGAACTCTCCTATCTCGTGGCTGGTGAGGAACTCTCCTAACTCGTGGCTGGTGAGGAACTCTCCTAACTCGTGGCTGGTGAGGAACTAACTTTCTTGCTTGCCGTCTGAGGGTTCCTCGGTTCATCCCTCTCGCTCCCCTCTCTAGCAAAGTAGGGGGCTCAGCTGATCCGGAACGTTTGCTTGCTGTTTGCTAACCCGAAAAAGAGCTAGCCGGCTGCCGTCGTCTGCAGCCGCTAAATCGTCAGTCGCTCGAGCTTGTTGTTGTCGTCGTCGTCGACTGTAGGTTATGTTGTGTTTGTTTCACACGACAATGAGTTTTAACTTCAAGTTGTCGGTTTATATTATTCACTCCGCATTTCCTCACGTCTTTGTGACGGATTATTGGCCTAAGGCCATGATCTGCGGGTTTACTAAGTGTAGAAAGTTTCTTCGAAGTACCAAGCCGGGTTGAGCCCTAGCTTGCGAAACACATCGCTGGTGAGTCAATAAGCTATAAAACACTGTATAAGGTTTATGCCACGCTCATACAGTACTAATAACTCTCGTTCTACACTTATTTAATACCAAACACAACAGTGTATCATGCCTATACTTTACTGAAGATGTTATAACTAAGGTTAGCCTTCTAACCTATAACCTTAGTTAGGGCTGGTAGGCTATGCCTAGGGATAGGCTAGACATAGGAATAGGCTAGTTTGACCCCCCCTCAAAATAGGCACGTTACAGTTTAATGAATAAACTATCTATATTCAACTGAAAAAAATATATTTTATGAAAGAAACAAAACAAAAAAAAAATTTAAAACTTAATAGGCTAATATAATTACTGCACACGGCTTGAAAATTTTTAGTTTCTCATTTTAAATTGTACAAATTTAAATTAAAACTAAGGATAAAATAAACAAACATCTTTATAAATGTTTTGTAATTGTTGCTATTTATATAATATGGTAATATTAAATTCAATGTTATATTTATTATATTTATTTATTATATTTATTTATTATATTATGTTATATTTATTTATATTTATCCATATTTATAGTTATATGGATAAGAGAGAAAAAGTAATT